CGCGGTGGAGAGGGAGAGCTCCTCCAGGGCAAGTTCCATCAGGGCGACGCGCCACTCGATGAATCTTAGATGTGGGGTCAATTACTTGGTACTTGTATGGGTGGGAATTGGGACAAGCCTACTCATTGAGGTTTCCAAAAGTCTCGTCGATGGACTTGGCACCGCCGTAGACATTCCAGGTGAAGACCTCCTTGCCCTCGGGCTCGGTGGAGGCAGCATCATCGCGATAAGTAGTGACAAAGCCGAGGCCCTCAAACTTGGCCTTGCTGTAGACCTTCTTGACCAGGTCGAGGGGCTTCGTCTTGGCGCGCCATTCCAGCGTCTTGACGAGCTGGTCCTTGGCCTTGGCGAGATCTCCGTCGTTGGCGTTGAGGTACTTTTGCAGGACGATCTGGCTGGGGACGTGGGTGTCGGGATCGGCGAGGGTGACACCCCAGACCTCGGGGTGGCCGACGGCTTTGGCAGCGCTCCACAGCTGGGCGATCGGCGTTAGCTCGGGAACAGCCGTTGCGTCCTTCTTGCTGCCACTGCTGCTGCTGGCATCGCCTGTTGGCACTGCTGTGGTAGTGGGGGCTTCCAGGGCTGAAGTGGGAATTGCAGCGGGAGCTCCAGTCGATGGCGATGGGGCAGCGACAGCGTCAATCGCAGTAGCAGGGGCTGGCTGGTCAGATGTGGGCGTCTCAGATGGGGCAGATGTCTCGGATGGGGCAGCAACAGGGCCAGCGCTAGCGGCGACAGGACCAGTGGCGGGTGCTGAGAGTGAGACAGGTGCAGCAGCCGGTGCAGACTTGCTGCTGCTGCTGCTGTCGACCTCGACCTTAGCTTCTTGCTCGCTCATTGTGCTAGAGCTGTTGTTGAGGTTGGGTTTAGGTTGTCTTGGGATTCTTGCTCGCTGTCGAGTCAAAAACGGGCTCGACAGGCGACAGGTGACAATTTGTGGAGAATTGCACAGAAGACCAGATATCAGCGCTTGGCGTGTCGCATCGAAGAATCGTGAATCAACGGGCGAATTGGTGGGCTAGTCTTTATCGGTCCTAAGCCTTATCGGTTGAGAAAAGTACCTGAGATACCCTAACCCTTGCCACCCCTTTTGGCCCGATGGACGCGAGCAGGGCAAGGGTCGCGTCAGCCAGAGCCGGGAAGCCGAGGATGGGTTGGCCTTGACGTCATGGCAAACCAGCCTGCAAGGGGCGCTCACTAAGAAAGGGCAGCACAACAATCAAGAAGTTTGGCACAAAATTTTGGTGACGGCGACAGAAGTACAGGGGAGCTCGGATCCATCGGCTGGCAACAGAATCCACCTGGGCATTGTTTAACAGAAAATCTGCGATTCTTTGAAGAGGATTCATTGCTTTTTCTTCTTCTTCCTCAATTGCCCATTTAGCGCTCTGTCTCCTGTTGCCAGCCACGTTCTGTCCTCTGCTGTTCTGTTCTGCTCTGTCCCGTCCATCTCATCGCCCGAAAGAAGCCTGAAGCCAAAACGCCGTCACCAGAATAAAAACAAGAAAAGCACCAAAATGGCACCACCACCAACACAAGTCCCCGCCTTCACAGCCACCGACTATGGCAAATTCTTTGGCGCCGGCGCCCTAGCAGCCACTCTCACCCACGGCGTAAGCATCAAGTCCCTTCTCTCGGATCAACCCAATAGCTAACCCCCTTATCCCCTCCCCAGGCCGCAACCCCCATCGACGTAGTCAAAACCCGCATCCAAGTCGACGACGCCATGAAGGGCCTCAACATGCTCAAGGCCGGCCGCTCCATCGTCGCAGCCGAAGGCGCCGGCGCCCTCCTCACCGGCTTCGGCCCCACCGCCGTCGGCTACCTCGTCCAAGGCGGCGCCAAGTTCGCCGGCTACGAGTTCTTCAAGAAAAAGTTCATCGAGCTCTCGGGCGGCCCCGAGAAGTCGGTCGACAAGCGCACCGCCATCTACCTCGGCGCCAGCGCCACCGCCGAGTTCTTCGCCGACATCGCGCTGTGCCCGCTCGAGGCGACCCGCATCCGCCTCGTCTCGCAGCGGGGGTTCGCGACGGGCTTGGGCAGCGGCTTCATGCGGCTCGCGCGCGAGGAGGGGCTGAGGGGGTTTTACTCGGGTTTTGTGCCGCTGCTGTTCAAGCAGGTGCCGTATGCGGTCGGGCAGTTCTCGGTGCATGAGGGTGCGGTCGAGATGATTTATCGGTACATGGGCGCGGAGCGGAAGGCGAGGATGACGCATCTCGAGTCGACCGGGGTCGAGCTGGCGTCGGGCATCGTGGCGGGTGTCGCGGCGGCGGTGCTGTCACACCCGGCGGACACGCTGCTCTCGGCGATGAACAAGGGCGCGGGGGATCCCAGCCAGGGGGCGACGAGCAGGCTGTTCACGCTGGCGAGGGAGTTTGGGCCCAAGAGGCTGTTGCTGACGGGGCTGGGGCCGAGGGTGTTTATGACGTGTGGGCTGGTGGCCGGGCAGTTTGTGATTTATGCGCAGTGCAAGACGCTTGTGGGGGCGCCGCCGGGGATCGAGATTCATAAGGAGAGCAAGTTGACTTGAGGGGGTGAGGACTGGGTTTTTTGGTTAGTTGAGCATTTACAGGGGCGCAAGCGGTCCTGATTTTTCTTTTCTTGGGCGAATTCGCGACATATAGAGAAGAGGAAGAAGAGGATAGACGGACAGACCTCGGGGCGTTTTTACTGTCTGGAGTAAAGGTTTTCTAGGGGGTTTTCAAGGGACTGGGTTGCTGATATTCACTTGCTGTTGTGTTATTTCTACGATGCATATCTTGTAGTAGTAGATGAAGTAGCTGTGGTGATGAATGCAGAGTTTTGACGCTGTCACTTGATCATATCGAATTACCCCCCTGAGTTTTATGTGAAGCAAGCATGACAAGAACCGTATTCGCACTTCGCTCCTCTAACTAAGCTCAGTCCTTCCTCTTCATGTTGCCCATTCCAGCCATGACTCCTCCCGGCATCTTCTCGAGCCCTGTTGAATCGAATGGTCAGCATAGGCACAAGAACCAGCTTATCGGTACCACAAAAGAAAGAAGAGAAACTCACATCCATCAAAACTCTCAGTAACCTGCTCCTTCCGCGTACACTTGTTCCCCGTGCTGATGGTCTGTGACTTGAGCTGTGGGCAATCTGCACAGTTGCTATCCATAGCCTTCTGCAGCGCATTATCCTTCCACCCAAACACGTAATCGCCGTGGTTTCCAAACCCCGTCTCGTCCCCCTGGCTCCACACAAATGGCTGACCTGTCGTCGGCCACAGCGCCTTGTCGTTGAACTTGGTCGTGTCCCAAATGACCTCATAGAACAGCTGCGGGATCTTGACGGGGTGCGTGGCCGGGCAGGGCCCGCCATTCTCAAACGTGCCCGAGGTCGGGTACACGACGTGGCTCATATGGTCAGGCGAGTCGAGGTTCTTGCCGTCCCAACAGGTCGGGAAGCGGACGTTGGTCATAATTCCCGCCTTGCAGGGGGCGGTCGGGAAGTCCATGGTCTCGCCGGAGCGCGTCATAGGGTCCTTGAGGCAGGTGTAGGTGAGCTGGCGGAACTTGGAGGCCTCGGCCTTGGTGCGGTAGCCCTGCTGGCCGACGAGCATGCGGAAGCCGGGCTGGAAGGCGGTCACGGTCTGCTTGGTGTTACCGACGTAAGGGATGTAGTAGATGGTCATGCCGCCAGTTGCGGCCTCGAAGCCAACGTTGGGCTTTTGGGGCACGCGGTGGTAGCTGCCGTTCTTGGCGCGGAAGAAGAGGACGGCGGTCCAGTAGTTGGAGAAGTCCTCGGCGAAGGTGCAGGTTGTGCAGGTCGCCAAGCTGGGCGGCGGTGTTGTGGGATCCATTGAGATGTTGAAGGCGTTCTGGGACAAAGTGTGTCAGTACTGTTTGAACGGTAGTTGGTTTAAAGAACGCACTCCTCCGACTATCTGGTGAAGATGTGGCGATGGGGCCATGCCAGGGTTGACGAGACTATCCAATTATCAAACTGTCAGTCAGCTTTGCTCTGAGTCAACAAGTAAGAAAAAGGGGGTAAACCATAGAGACTTACGGGTCGAGACGCTCAACTACAAGCTGCGAGCACGAGAAGCGTAGAAGCGCGTCTGCACCCGACGCCGAAAGCGCCAGGGCCGTGGCGAGGGTGTTCCAATGCATGGTTGAGTTCCTGCCAAATCCCAGTCTATGACAAGCAAACACCAAAAGGAGGGAAAGAAGTGATGCAAAGGAAGTCAAATGTGGGCTTGGCGGTATTTTAAAGAAAGACTGAGCCAGCAGGCCATCTGCCCTCCCTCCCTCCATCTTTCTTCGAACCGCTTGCACGTCATGCCTGGATTATACCGGTTCAGGGCCACTTGGGATTGGTGGGATAGGCGGTCCTCGTGGGCGTTGAGCTTGTCCATCATAAACAATATTTTGATTGAAAGAATCCCGGCAGTTACACTGCCGAATTTTGACGAGTTCCTTACGAAGTACACCATGCTTGATTCGGTGGCTAAATAGGGGCGGTTGTGACTTGATTAATATGACGACCCCTGACTGCTATATGGCTGGCCTCTTTGCTCAGATAGTGAGAATCGGGATGCAACCGTGTAAGGGAGCAAAGGGCCAGAATGACTATGGGTTCCATTTGCGGGGAAGGCAGAGATGGGTGGATTGATGGAGCCGGACACGGCTCCATCGAATTGATCAAGACTGAATGATTGCCGAGCTCCAAACGATGCTGTCAATTTGAATCGGCAATTTAATTTAACCCCAACTTCGCTCGACACTTCAGCACGTAGCTTGCTACTAAAAAATACATCAAGTTTCAGTGTTCTTAGTCGGGAGATGTTTCAAGCCGCTCAATTCTTCCTTGCAGACTTCTCTCGCATCATGTAGGTTGCAGCTACATTGCATGCTTTGGCAATCTGCTGACACCCTTTTTTTCGTTGCCAGTTCAGAACGGACCCCTTTTTGTGGGTGTTGTGGAGACCAGTGTGAAATCCACACGCAAAAAAGGCACCCACTAAAAGTGGAAGAAGATGCGGTTTATGTGGATCGAACACATGACCTTCAGATTTTAAGCTAATGAAGTTGACTTCAGTCTGACGCTCTCCCAACTGAGCTAAACCCGCTTCATGCATATGTGGCCGATTTCTATGGTACTTGTATGCGTAACACCATCCACGCAAATTGGATGCGACTTTCTATGTTGCTGCAAAGTTGTTGCAATATCATCAGGTTCTCACTTATTCGTGAACAATACGATCATAACGCGACTGAAAGAAGTTAAAAACAATACTTAAAAGCATTAGAGAAACCCGACTCATTACTCGGCGGATTAATCCTCGTCACTAGGCGGATTCTCATCACTAGACCCGTCCTCTTCATCGCTCGAGTCGCCTAGAAACGCATACGAGAACGCAACTCCCCGCGCCGCCACGGATGGCTTCGAGGTTGTGCCGCGCGCAGCAAGGATGCGAGAGTTGAGAAGTGGATGCCGGCCCCGCCTGCGACTTCCATGGAGCAGCTAAAGGAAAGACTCTTGAGCGCCGCTGGAGACTGTGGCCGCCGTCCTCGATCCAGTTCATCACGAACATGGTGCTTTCGGCGTTGGGACACAGGCTGCTCAGGAGATCGATGACGTCGTTTCCATTTTCTGAGGAGATGCTGTCGGGGCTGCCGTATTGGTGTCGAGGCTGCTTCCCTCTAGTCCCTGAGCCTCTAACACCTGAGCCAGAGACAGTAGCCACCCGATCAAAATAATATAACCAAACTTGCTTTAGGACCTCGAGTATGCAATCACCGGGGTCCTTCATGTGGGAAATGCCCAGTTGCTTGACATGCTGGGCAAGATCCGGGCGACGTATGAGAGTCCGCGCGAGGAGCCACCATTTCGCGCAACGTGGACGGATGTAGAGACGCCAAGTTGCGATGGCGTTGAGCTGCCTTGAGGTCAGGCTGAGACTGGCGAGTGTATCAACGTGCTCGTCGTCCGTGTCTTTCCGCCTTTTCCCCGATTTGTCATAAGGGACACAACCACAGCACGCGCATTGACAGTGGCGTGGCGCTGGCGGCATGTAGACAGCTTCTACGACTGCAGTGACAAGCTTGGGCGGGAGACGGCTGAAGGTCGGCATATTGCATCTTCTAGGCGATTGAGAGCAAAGAAATTTGGAACACCCTATACCAATTCTGACCCCCCAGCCCCTTATTATTCCACCAGGACCCTTTTCTGCTGAGATCTTTTCTCTTTCGGTATTCTGTCCATCGTTGATTTGTTTTATCACGCGCCTAATATTCTTACTAGATCGTACCACAACAGCAATAATTGCTCATAATCTGTTGCTCATCATCGTCATAAACCTTGGACCGAAAACAAACAAAAAGTACTATCTTAACAAGGTAAAAACACATACCGGCCGATATACCAGCCCAATCTTAACATAATCCAAACATATTCCAATATCAAAACACAGCCGCAACAACCCCCATAGCAACCCCATAAACACCAACAACGACTAGCGCGTCGGCATGATCAAGCGCCTGCCCACTCCCAACCCAAAACCCAGCGTCTGCTAGCCTGCGCCTCAGCGCAGAGATGGCGATGCCCACGACCAAGACCACAGCCATTCGACCTAAAAAGTCGGTGATGAGCGGGAAGGTAACAATCGGGACGATGACAGCGACAGCGGCGAGGATGGCAACCTGGCTAAGGGGGAGGATATCGACGACGGCAGCAGCGGCGGGACGGAGCTGGAGCCGCTGTTGCTGTTGACGTTGTGGCTGCTCGTCGTCATAGAGCCCGTCTCCTGGTACCCCTTGACTCGGCTTGAGATTTCTGCTTCTCCGAGGCGAAATTGGGGGCGTGGATGGTGCGTGCAATAGGAGGGATCCGACCCCGCTCGAGCGACGCCTTTCGTATCCTGTACTTGGTGATGAGAATGCGGTTGTAACATGATGAACACTCAGCCTACTGAGAAGAAATAGGGGGATGAAAGGAGTGGGAAAATACTGACCAAAGCTCATCTTGTGCGGCATCGGCGTCAAGGCATCGTCCGATAGGGCGTGGTACGATGAGGTAGGCGAAGAGGAGTCAAGGTAGGATGAATCGGCAGACCGGTCCGGCACAAGACAAACAAGATCCTCGGTCGGCTCGAGAAAGCGTGTCTCGATCTCGGCGATGGGGTTAGAGGTTGCTAGATACGTACGGTAGTCCTCAATGTCGGACATGCGCGCTGGGGGTAGTTCTTGCGTCTGGTTGAAAGAGGTGAGAACATGGTCTAAAGCCATTGTCTATCAGTTGAGGTCCTATGCTCTATATTAAGAGTACACATCACATACTGTATTGCTCGAGTTTGAAGCCAATCTTTGACAAGATATCCTGCTTATGCCATTGAAGCTCTCCGCCAGCCATAAACTCGGCTCTTCGAGAGGCGGGGAGAATGCAGTTCTGGAGCCGTCGTGTTTGTGTATCGGCTGTGTCGAGACGATGTAGCTGCTCTTCCAGCTCATTCAGCTCGTCCTGAAGGTATAAGAGCAGACGGTGGTTGAGAGCCTCGAAGCGCCGATATATGGGTTTGATGGTAGCCTCGTCCTTCTCACTTGGCGATGTCCCATCTGAGCTTCCAGACCGTCTTCGCGGCCGGGGACCCGAGCCCGAGAGCTTGGCCGCCAAGAGCTCATAACCTGTCAAGGGCAACTTTTCTGCACGTGGGAGGTGCTTTGCATGGCCATGACCTGGGGTAAGAAGACGAGGTTGCAGTTCGCTGGGCGGTATGAGGGGGTGCTTAGCCGACCCACGAGCCATCTCAGGAGTCCCGTAGCGATCATTCTGGGCGTCAACGTTCGCTTTGGAGAGTATACGTTGCTGTCGGTTAGGCTCTGCACGCGTCGGGGTCCCACTTCTACTATCAGTCGAGCTCGGCTTGAGTGGAGAGAAAGTAGTCCGCCTAATCGCCGTTGACATATCCCCGTTAATACTCTGCTCTGGTGTCGTGGCGTCTGTGTCCACCAGGCTTCGCAAGCTGCTCGTTCCGACGCTTGACGCTGAAGAAATACTCCGAGGAGACCATCCCTCAGTGGCCGCCGCGACTGTTTGTCGGATACGCTCTTCTGTCAAAGGTGGAGAATCTTGGTCCAGAAAGCTTAAGGCATTGGGCTTCCGGCGAGGTTTGCCTAACGTCTTGGGTTCTACTTCCTTGGGTGCAAGTATTCCCGTCTTCCTCATCTTTTCGTGGCGGCCGGTAGACCCTTGAGTGACCGTTGACGCGCTCTCGCTAGAACTTTCTGATCTGTCGCTGTTTTGCTCACCACCTAGTAATCGTGGGGTGACGGTGCCAGAGTCGATTCGGGAACGGGGGGAGAGTGTCTTGTCATCTCCCGAATCGGAGCTAACAGCAAGGGTCAATTCGCTGTCGTCGTCTGCTTGCTTGTTTTCGTCCTCATTGGTGACTTCCCTCGAAATGGGGTCGCGAGTTGAGCGAGCCCGACCAAACTTTGCACCCCTTGGTCGAGATTGAAAGAAGTTGTCGGGGGCGCTGAGAGGCCTTGGGCTCTTGAGACGCTCTGCAGTCTTGGGACTGGTGATCCTGTGTTGAACATCACTGTAGGGTTGATTGAGATGTATTCCAGGACGAGCGCGGTTGTCTGTCGGTTGACGAGATGGGGCAGTCATGTCAGATTTGGACTGGCCTCCTGGTTCTACGCCAGAGCATACACCTTTCTCTTCCTCGACATCTTCCTCGTTCTCATCTTCGTCATTGTCTTCGTCGCCTTCTCTAGTCTGTTCTTCGTCTTCGTCAGACAGATCGTCATGTGGAGCCCAGTCCTCGTCGATGGCCTCCTTAACATGCTCCAGGTCCGGCTCAGGGCGTGCTAGCGACATGGCGAATGACCGAGAATACCGAAGGAGGGAAATAAACGCAGGCGAGTCAATGCGGGGTCAACAATCAGAAACAAATGGAACCCAAGCCAGTAGAAAATCAGGGTGGAATGGGATAACTATTCTAGATAAGCGACCAAATAGCAGTATGCCGCCGATTGCAGCCTGGTTGGTTGCCAATTGGGCACTTGCCTGCCGTGGATTGACACTGCTGATTATTATGTCGCCATACCCAGCTCCGAAACAGATCAACCAACGGGGTGCATGCGACAGTCGAGTCCGAATTTAGGTGTGACCAGCAAGGACGACGTGGTCGGGGTGGTCGGCAACAAGTGGGCAGGCAGCGTCGACGAGAGACCAGTCGAGTATCTCGTACAACATCAGCGATGAAAGCACAACGCCAGCGATCCCGGTAACAGAGGCCACCATGTTTAATGTTTGATGTGCGCGACGAATGAATGTTCAAGACAGCGGGGGGCTGAGCATGCGCCTTGAATATGGCCTGATTATTCTGTCATTGGTGTTTTATATAGGTTGCCCCCCCTGTGAGCCACCCCGGTCTTGGTGGGCACGGGAGGATGGGGGAGGATGGCGGGGTTCGACTGGTCGACGGGCGTTACCATTGCAACCATTAGCAACGATGGCATGCGCGCGGGCCCCGTGGTGGCTGGCCAGCGCTGCCCGTTTGTCCAAGAGGTGTGGTGGTGTGGCACTGGTCTCTGCATGTCGGGTCTCGCGGTTGTCCGGCGTGTTTCGGATCATCACAGGTGAATTGAGGCCTGAGCTGGAGGAGGGTGGTGATGAGTTGAATGAGGAATAGCGGGGTTGCTCCTCAGAATTCCTTGGCGCATTTCTCATCGTCTGCCAGGCGCTATCGTCGCAGTTAGGCTCCTACTGTTCGTACCAACGGGCCTAAAAGGTTCTAACTGTTGGTCAAATGGCAGTGGCATGGGTCGGGAATAACGACGGGAAGTATATCTGAAAAGAAAGTGTTAGTGGAGCCTGATTTCTCGGTAGAAACACAACCTGTTTCCCAGCAGTTCTTAACAGCTACTGGACGTGGTTACCTCCACATGTTTCACTTGCTCTTTCCTCAAATCTCGACCGAGAGACGAGCGTCATATCGCACAAACGGAAAGCTGTTTAGGATTGCTGAATTGTGCAATCCAGCCTTTGCCAGCAAAAATCCCAGGTTTACTAACAGCTGCAGGTCGTTAGCGAACTAGTGTATTCCAGCAGTTGAAGCCCCCA